GAGATTTCCAAGGGGAAAATAAGCGGGAACAAGGAGAATTTCACATGAGCCCCCACTTTTTTTTCCTATTGGTTCCAGGAGGCGTTGGTCGCAAAGAGGTGCATGGCCCTCGGGTAGGACATGGCGAAGTCCAGGGGCGGCAGGAAGGGCAGCCGGAAGTTGTTCATCCCAGGGTAGAGGTGCTCGGGGGGGGGGGGAAGCGGAGAGACGAGCGACTGCGATGTGATCAGGCAACCAAGAAGGCAGGAGGAAGGCAAATGAGAAACACAGCAGCATGGGGGGGGGGGGGGGGGATGGAGGAGAGAGGAGGAGGAGGAAGAGAAAAAGGATCGAAGCATACAGCTTTCAGCTTGTGGAGGCCGTCAAGAGGAAGTTGAAGCTGAAGGGTTTTGAGCGACATTGCGAGGTAGCGGCCTGTCTCACTCATCGTCATCTGAGCACTCAAGATGCTTGTAGCTCCCACCGAGCTTCCTCGTGTCAGGCCCATCCATCCCCCAGAATCTTCGCTTCAGCGCCTCCTGCCATGCTCTTCAGTGGAGCTCATTGGAGCTGTTCCTCACTTGTCTCCGTCGGAGGTTTCGCTGCAGCTCTTCCGTTGAGATCTGCTGGGCCGGGGCAGGTGGCTGCGAGCAATCAAGACCGGACAAGCAACGTACCATGCACGCGTTACCCGCGAGTTTGGGTCCTCGTACCCCGGGTCGTTGTTTGCCGACTGATCGCGCGACTGAGAGCTCCTGGCGCCTCCTCCATGTGACGAGGACGCGCCTCGTGTCTCAAAGAGCTGCCCGAGAGTTTTGCTGGGCATGAAGAGTGAGATGAGGAGGAGGGAGGAGGCGAGAGGTTACAGGTACCTGTAACACGTGTAGCACTTGATGAAGGAGATGAAGTCATCCGTGGAGAAGTTGTTGCTCTGAACACGCAGGCGGTCAAGATTTCGACCGCAAGTCAGCATCCTCACCCTCCACGAGGATAGACAAGTCTGAAGCGCTAGACGAGCCCCAGTAGGAAGCTCCTGCAACACAGTAAGACTCGAGAGGTTGAAAGCTCAAGGACCTGGAGGATCAGAGTGAAGTGATAGGGAGTGAGAGGAGATGGATACAGCTCCTCCTCCTGCTCCTCCTGCAGCTTCTGCTTCTTATTGTCGCCGCTCTGTGCGCCTCCGATGGCAGGGCCATTCAATTCTTCTATCCTCAGAAACTCTTGACGAGGCGAACCGCTTGGCACACATCGCCTGTGTTTCCTGCCCTCCTTACCTTGTGACATAATAATGGAATTTGACAGAGAATGACAAGATTTGTTTCTTTCACATGCTTCGTTGTGATCTTAACATCGAATGTACCGCAGATGTTTGCCAGGATTGGTTCGGTCTGTGCTTGAGGGGGGTTTTCACTCCCATGCCCCCACCTTTACTTTTGCGATTGAACAAAATTCGAAATGATTGCAATCTAAGCAAAACAACTTGTCAGTCAATCACGCATTTCATCTGAAGCAATGCGAACACCCGTGATCTCAATTGCGAAATTTTCGTGTCTACAGGATCCCAAGAGTAGGTCTTACCTATTACTACTCCTCGCCTTCAAGACATCATATTTTCGAGTTCAAGACGTGAGATTTGATTGTTTTATCTCGTCTCAGATGTTTCCCTCACTCACAGTCATTATTCTACCTCTCCTGTACCCGATTCACGAAAAATCGACTCCCAACATTTCAAATCAAAACACCAGGCGTACATTCTTCTGCGTGCATGCTTGATACAAATCCTCGTATGATTTTGGATTGGTCTCTTCTCTCTTCTTCCTGCTTCCCTTTCCTTCTCCTTCTCGCACCATCGCACCCACACGTCCTTAGCGCTGGTGTTGTTTTCGACATTTCATTGCTTCCGACACCCACACACCCACCCACCCACCCACCTACCCACCCCTTCTAAAACCTACCATGCAGAAATGTACCGTCATGACCTTTAAGTACCCCCTTTTTACCCATAAATCTGCGATCATTAAGAGGGTAGTTTTGTAGGTCTGTGGTCCACCACCCCTTTCAATGTCACAATTATGTACCCCTAACCCTTTCGTCCGATTACCCCACCCCCATCGTGAGAGCCGGAGATCCACCCCGGGAGATCTAGCGGTATCTCGTTTGCAATCTCCTCTATAAATATTTATAGATATTGGCTCGATATTTTACATGAATATAAACAAAGTAATAAATTGTTGCGAACTTTCTTCTATAAAAGTTGGAAATAAGAGTTAATATTTGAACATTACTTGACAGCTCCACAATGTTTTAAAACTTAAATATTATTATTCTTGCCAATTGAGAATGCGTCACTGATACTTAAAAGAATTTCAGGGTCTCGAAATACTGCTGGTGCATGGGAACTATGGTGATTGTTTCCTGATAAATTCAAATTTGAAAAAGAAATTTGAGCTGATGGGTTGAAACTTGATTTGACGGAGTCGACTGCCCCCAGACCGAGCTAGGTTTTTATTCTCAGTTCAGACCGACTTGTAAGTGATCCGCTAACCTGATCCAAACTAAACTAAACTACTGAGTCCTTTGATCCCAAACTAGTCAATCACTGTCACGTTGAGTAAAGGCTTGGGCAGCTTCCGAAAAGTACTACAGTAATAACACAGTCGCAGTCGCATCAATTAAACTTTCAGTTCCTCCGCCGGCCGGCGCCGTCCGAAACTCAGTTTTTCAAGTCTGTGACTTGAGGTATACTAGTCTTTTCTTTTTAACTGAAGTTGCAACTTTTCATCCTTTTACGCCGAGAACATCATAAAATAACTGCCAAATGCAGTGCGGCATGATGAATCGGGATGACTCTGAGTCTGATGCCACTGGCCGGCCTTGGGCCCGGCCCCCGGCCCGGCCGCCGCGGCCGCGCACACGCCGACCTGTTTACTCAAAGTTAAGTTAACGGTGACCAGTGGCGCCCCGCCGCCCCGCATTCAACGTTTGCTCATACTGCGGTACCGTAAAGCGAAGAGTACGGTACATTCATAGTTCATATACCCAAAAGTTGTACCAGATATTTTAGGTATTCCGGCCTCCTGGTACAAATGTGGTACAAATGACTTAGTAGGGATTTACTACTGTAAAACCTCTGGGGGTCGCATCGCAAACGGCGCAACAAATGATGGCGGAGAAAGAAACAAGTAGGGACAATGAGAGACGACGGCGACGACGGCGACGACGACGAGCAGGAGCAGGAGCAGGAGCAGGAGCAGGAGCAGGAGCAGGAGCAGGAGCAGGAGCAGGAGGAGATGAGACGATGATAAAGACGAAGCCAGACCGGACAGACGGAGATATGCTGGTCAAGAGGCGTCAGAAATTGAACTGGCCATCAGTTCTGAAAAGAAAGACAAAACGAGAGGAGAGATGAGGAAACGAGCAAGGCAAAGAGCAAGTAGGATCCTCGGGGAGGGATCGTGACATTGAGATGAGCCACAGTAGCTATCCAGGAGTCAGGAGAGGGGAGAAGAAGTGGGCGGAGTGGGGGGGGCGGGGGGGGCGGGGGGGGCGGGGCCAAGGGACCGAGGGAGGGAGGAGAGCATAGCTAGATGGACAATCCTAGTCCTTGACGTCGAACTCAGGTCTTTACTATCGAAACTTTGATCAGCAATGCGCGTCGCACAGGTTAGTTTGGCTCATGTTAATTTGACCATGTCTGTTCTTACCTTGCGACCAGGTATCCCAAAAAATGCTCCGAGGAGTCTCTCGGAATGTTGCAAGGCGAACGTTCTTCAATGCAGCATATGGTTTAGCTAAGAAGGTCATGCCTAAGATATCAGAGACGGAGGCTGCTGCATTGAACTCCGGAAGCGTCAGCTTTGATGGCGAACTTTTCAAGGGCGACACATCAAGCAAGCATCTGCTAGAAAAGTATAGCCTGAAGCTGACGCCCGAAGAAGAGGCATTTTTGAAGAATGAGACTGAACAGCTGTGTGAGATGCTGAACAATCATCAGATCGATGTCGATCAGAACCTTCCTCCGAATGTTTGGCAGTTTATACGCGAGAAACGATTCATGGGTATGATCATTCCAAAGAAGTATGGTGGTCTGGGTTTCAGTGGCCATGGGCATGCTCTCGTAGTTGAAAAGATTGCCGGACGCAACGGGGCAGCAGCTGTGACCGTCATGGTCCCTAACTCACTCGGTCCTGGTGAACTCTTGTATCATTACGGAACAGAAGAGCAGAAGAACCACTACTTGCCTCGCCTCGCCAATGGAATTGACATTCCATGCTTTGGCCTGACGGGAGCACCCAATGGTTCGGATGCAGCAGGATCTATGGTCGACGAGGGGGTAGTTGTGATGGAGGATGGAGTATTGGGAATGAGAGTTAACTTCTCCAAACGGTACATCACTCTCGCGCCTGTCGCTACCTTGGTTGGTCTCGCCTTTAAGCTGAAGGACCCATCAAAGCTGCTCACCAAAGGAAAGGAGGGCATTACAGTAGCTCTGCTTCCTACTTCTCCGAATCAGTTCGCTCCCAGTGGTATTCAAGGCCTGAAGACAGGAAATCGCCATGACCCGCTGGGAACGCCTTTCATGAACGGAACAGTGCAAGGCCAGAACGTTTTCATACCCATGTCATGCATTATTGGCGGAGAAGAGCGAGCAGGTTTACAACCTTGATGATAGTCGTTGATTAGTCTGATTCGTAAATTCCAGGTTACGGGTGGAACATGCTTGTTGAGTGTCTTGGTGAAGGACGAGGAATTTCGCTCCCAGCAGGCTCGATAGCTGGAATGAAACTCTCTACTCTTGCCGTAAGTTTAAAATTTCTTTGCACGAATCTCATGCACTTTGTCAGGTTGGAGGGTATGCCCGCATCCGCAAACAATTCAAAGTTCCCATTGCCGACATGGAAGGTGTCCAGGAGAAGCTTGCCGTGATCGCGAGAAACAGTTATCAATCTATCGCTGCTCAGCATCTCTTCAACGCTATCCTAGCGACAGGTCAGAAACCACCTGTGCTCTCAGCTATCATGAAGCAGCAATGCACCGAGAAAGGAAGGGAGTCAATCAACGAGGCCATGGACATCATCGGTGGTGCTGGTATCATCAAAGGTCCCTCCAACTACCTGGCGAGTGGCTATCAAGCGATTCCTATCGGCATCACCGTAGAGGGAGCCAACACGCTCACGCGCTCACTGATCATCTTCGGTCAAGGACTGAATCGCTCGCACCCTCATCTCCTCGACCTCATCCAGACCATCCAGAAGGGCAACGACTTGCAAGGCTTCAACCGCGAGCTCACGCTGGTCTTCAAGCACGCTTTCACCAACTTGGGGCGATCCGTGTCTCGAGGATTGTCTGTGCAGCTTCAGCCCAAGGGGGGGAACATTGTTGGTTACCATGAAGCACAGGTGAGCTTGTTATTGTTATCTGATTCTCGCATAGCTTGTCATTGTTATCTGAATACTCGCATAGCTTGTCATTGTTATCTGAATACTCGCATAGCTTGTCATTGTTATCTGAATACTCGCATAGCTTGTCATTGTTATCTGAATACTCGCATAGCTTGTCATTGTTATCTGATTCTCGCATAGCTTGTCATTGTTATCTGAATACTCGCATAGCTTGTCATTGTTATCTGAATACTCGCATAGCTTGTCATTGTTATCTGAATACTCGCATAGCTTGTCATTGTTATCTGAATGCTCACTTGGTTGTCATCACCATCCTAACACTTATTGTGCTCAGTTGCACCGATTGACTGCCTGCTTTGCGTTCTTGTCCGATGTTGGAATGATACTGGGAGGAGGCCTCAAGACTGCTGAGTTTGTGTCTGGCCGATACGCTGATATCTTGGGAAACCTCTACATTGGATACGCTTGCCTCTGGTTCTACCAGAATAATCGCAACGTCAAGGATTTGGCAGTGTTGTTGGACTACGCGATGGCAGACGTTTGTCACAAGATTCAGGAGTCTATGTTTGGTCTGTTTGACAATTTTCCCGTTCCTCTCGTTGGTCTTGGTATGAGGTTGGTCACTTTCCCTCGAGGAAGAGAGTATTTTGTCGCGAAGGATTCGCTACGAAAGAAAGTGTCAAACCTCATCACCACTCCGACAGAGGTGCAGCCCTGAAACGCTCGTCGGGTGCTTTGAGCTTGACAGACGTGCAGGTCCGAAGCCTCATGACAGAGAATGTCTTCATCTCCAAGAGCCCAGGAGATCGAGTTCATCAGATCGCACACGCTTTCAACATCTGCATCTCTGCTGACGAGATCGCTCGAACTATCCGGCGTGAGAAGCGAGAGGTACGACAAGGAGCTCAAGTCCTCATGCTCACGCGCACCGACAGGCGACTGCCGAGGAATCAAAGGTGCTGGCCGAGGCAGACAAGCTGCGAGACGAGATCATTCAGGTTGGTCACGATCGTGACTTGAGCGCAACTGACGTCTGGCTCAGGTCGACACCTTCGAGACTCTAGCAGGGAAGGACCATCGCGGTCAGTTCATGACTCCCACTTGGTCTGTGTCGGAGACCAAACACGAGAAGAGCGCCATGTGAGAAAAGGCAGTAGGACGCGCGTCTTTACCAACGAATTTACACAAGAAGAGCATCATAATAGACGAAGCAGCAAGCCCTGCTCAATGTCGTTGGTTCCACCCCTGACTTGGCGGCGGCATCCTCCCCTGTCCGCCCATCCCTTGACTGCCCCAGTCGCCTCCTGGCCTTTGGCCCCACGTGCCTCCTGCCTGAGACTGAGAGGGCATCCTCGGAGCTCCAGGCGCTCCCCAGGTGCTGCCGTTGGAGGGCCACTGACCCCCAGGAGCGCCCCAGGTGCTCTGCGGCTGCGCGTAGGGAGCTGACGAGACGGTCAGCATGCGAAGAAGAGACAAGAAAGCAGCTGGATCAGGATCGGGGGAGAGAGGAGATCGGGCGAGGGGCAAGATCGGGGGAGAGAGGAGCATTGGCGTACCTTGAGGGCCGCGGGAACGATTCAAGAGCTCCATGGGGTTTTGCTTGAAGTGGTTGATGACGTGATCAGGCGACTTGAAGATCTGACAGCCTGTTGGAGGAAGAACAAGGAAAGGAGAGAGGAGAGGACGGCGGGGAGGAAGGGAGGAAAACCAGGGAGGTAAAGGGGGATCAAGAGAGGGCGAGGAGGAGGATGAAGCTTGTGAAACCTTTTGGCGGAAACGGAATCCATCAACAACTGTTGTAATTCGCTCCTCCTGCACGTGAATCAGCTCCTCCCGTCTCTTCTCCTTTCCCCCACCTGCACGGTCTTGGTGCCGGGCAACCAGAAGAGCATGAAGCCCCCCTAAGAAGCATCAGCGATCCTCCTAATCGTTGCCCCTCCTTCCTCCCTCCTTTTCTTTTTCCTTTTGTTGCTTCGCCCCCTCATCTCTCCTCCTCTTCCCCACCCCTTCCTTTACTGTTCCTGCCCTTCCTCTCCCCTACCTGCATGTCCGGGTTGATCCCAATCAAGTAAGGTGTTCCCCTTGCGTTCATCTGTCGTTGGAACGGTCACCGAATGAGTCACCAGAAGGGGAGGGGGAGGCAAGGGCAGAAGGAGGGAGCAGCGAGGAGGGAGGAGAGAGGAGGGAGGAGCAGCGCTTGCCTGCTTCTGTTCGATGAGCTTGTTCCGGATTTCAGGGGCGGAGGCTGTAGACCAGTGAGGGTTGGGGAGCTGCAACAACGGCTGCTTCACCGTTACAGAACTTCGCGTGCTCGATCATCTTGGCTTCATGGGAGCCGAGAACTTCGATGTAGCTGACAGAAAGAGGAATGAGGCAGGGAAGGGGAGGGAGGGAGGCGGGAGGGAAGAGAAGGGAAGGAGAAGAGATTGGGAGTGAGCAAGCGGGAGGTGACGTCAGCAAAGAAGGGTTACCCGATGATCAGCTCGTCAAGGTTCTCGAAACTTCTGTTCTCAATCTTGTGGCACCGTCACTCAACGACCGGATCGCCTCCACCTCTACCTGCAGTCGCTTGCCCAACTCATACGGACTCGGCTGAGAGGAACGTCTCGGTCAGCAGAAGACTTGATAAAAAGCAGAAAGAGCGAGAGGGAGGGAGGGAGGGAGGGAGGGAGGGAGGGAGGGAGGGAGATACGGACGAGGCATGACAGATAGAGGGAGGAGTGATAGAGGGGAGAAAAGGATGGAGAGGGAGAGGGAGAGGGAGAGGGAGAGGGAGAGGGAGGAGAAGACGAGATTCTCATACCTGCTCGAACATCTTTATCTGCACCTCCTGGTATACGGGCATGATAGCGCCATCGTCGCCGATCGGAGCATCGCAAACTTTCCGAGTGACAGACAACGTGTCCAACCCTGAGCGAGCGTATCATCAAGGAGATGGTGGGGGAGAGCACGAAGAAAGAAGAGGAGAGGAAAAGAAAGATACATAGAAAGGAGAGGAAAGGCGATGGATCGAAGAGAGGAATGGAAGGAGGTAGAGACAACCGAGAAAACGAGGAAGATAAAGGATGCAACGCCAAGAAAGCAGGAGAGGGGGGAGGGAAGACAATGGAGGGGAGGGGAAACAGTTCGGTACCTTGACTCGAAGGTCGGATGATAAACTCTCCAGCTTCTCTCTCCTACGGTCAAGATTAGCCGGGCCTCGTCCTTCTCCTCTCCCTCCATTTTCTCTCCAACCTCAAGGAGTCGACGGGCCTTCATCCTCGGCACGTTGGAGAAGCTCGGGTGATCAATCAGCCTCGTACGGATCTGACCGGCCTGACCAACAGCTTCTCGTCAGGCTGCCTGCAAAGTCTTCCTTGCTTTCCACCCCCTCACCCCACACATCCTCCTCCATTCTATTCTGCTGCCTCCTTCCTCCTTCCTCCTAGCTTCCACCGTCATACTCAACCCCGCCAACCCTCCCGCTGCAGCCCGTTCCCCTTCCCCTGCCCCTGCCCCTGCCGCTTCCCCTGTCCCTGTCCCTGCCCCTGCCCCTGCCCCTGCCCTCCATCGCATCGGGGGGCCTCTCACGAAGAGCAGGTTGCAAACGCAGCACACGTACCTTCTTGCCCTTGACCTCCTTCTTCATGACTTTCTCGACTTTTCGTATCAGCGACTCCCTGGCCGTCTGCGACTCCTCAGCTTCCTCCCTCCAGACTCCTCGCAACTCACCAAGTCTACCGAGAACTCTTCATACTTCACGTCCACAATCATACAGCTAAGAATGTCATTCTCCTTCACCTTCTGCAGGTCAAGTAGTCAGCACAGCCCCCTCTGCCTACCTCCCCCCCCCCTCTCTTCTTACGCTCTGGAGTGTTCGCTTGTCAGCATCCGTATCCCCGAAATTCATTTCGTCCAACACGCCGATGAGCCCGTTTTCGAGCTTACAGATGATCTGCTCTCGATCAGCATCCCCTCTTTTGTCTCATCCTCCCCTCCCCATTCCCCTCTCCTCCTTCCCTCTTCCCATTCCTGTTCCCTGTTGGGTCCTTCCCCTCTCCACTCCATCCCCCGCCACCTCCCACTTGCATCCGAGCAGCTACAGACCTTGTAGGGAGGGAGGGGAGGGGCGTCGGGGTCTTCACTGCGCGAGTGCGGGCGGACGAGCTTGGCGACGCGAACGTGAACGACTTTGTCTTTGAGCGTCGAGACTTTAGACCCGTCCGGCTTCACCCTGTCGCTCTCCCCCGTCAGCAGGTTGAACTCGCTTCGCTTGTCCAGCTCCCATGGCAACAGCCCATCGTCGAGTTGCTGGCACGTAGGTGAGCAGAACTGGACTGAGAGCATGGAAGGGGAGGGGAGGGGAGGGAAGAGAGTGGGGAAGAAGGGGGGGGGTTGAGCCCTATGGAGCAGCACAAGAGAGCAAATTGGAGTGAATGGAGTGAAGGTGGCGGTAGAGGGCAACAAGCAAGGATGTAAGGGGCATGGAAGATGAGAGAGGAGGGGGAGGGAGGCGGGAGGAGAAGACAGGACGAGGAGGAAGGTGGGGCAGTGTTGAGAGGAACACCTCTAGTTTCCGGCTGTCATGAAAGGGATTCAAGATCTCAGTTCGAATGTCCTGAAGAGTCTCCGTCTTCCTCTCTCCTGTCGACTGGTAGATGATCTTTCCGTAGCTCTCGAGGTCCTGCTCCCACAGCGCCTCCGAGATTTGCCTGCACCCTCGTCAGCATCCACCGCTGCAAAGGGGACGGAGAAAAGACCGATGCAGCTCTTTGTCCGGATGGAGCGCGCGGACCAGAAGGTTCCAGTCGTCCTCCTCCTCCAGCGCGTCTGAAATCTGCCATGGTCGGTGAGAGGGAGCTGAGCGGGGGCTCGACTACCCACCATCTTCCTGGCGAACCTGTACGACTCAGGGTGTATCCTAGTAGTCTCGAGCGGTCCTCCTCCCTGCTCATTCCACTTCGCCTGGTTCTCCTCGTGGTCCTTGTACTGCCCCACCTGCTCTGCCCTTCAGTTGACACAAGAGCGGTGGAGGGAGAGGAGTGGACGAGGGAACGAGCAGTGAGGAGCAGAGAAAGCAGGTGGGCGGTCGAGCAACGAGCCATCGAATAAGAAGAGGCTGAGGATGGAAAGTGGATGATGCCGGTGTAGGAAGGCGGAGGGGCAGGAGGGAGGGAGGAAAGAGGAAGGGGGGAGGTCTAGGTCGAGTCAACATGACCTCAAGGTCGTCCATCCACATGGAAGTGTTCTTGGTTATCTTCATGAACGCGGAGGCGTTGTAGAAAGTGACTTCCTTGAAAACTGTGCGGACGTTCCTGTCCTCCAGCAGCGCATTGCGATACTGCCAGCTCGTCACTCCCCGCACATTCGCAGCTCCTCCCACCAACCTGCACACAACCGTACTGGCTGATGATTCTCAGCAGCTCCTGCGCCTTCCTGGGGCCCAGCCCAGCGACGAACTGCAACGTGTTGCCGAAGATGATCTGCTTGTCAGCAGCAAGGTTGATATCGACCCCAACGTCGTTGACAACATTGATGAAGGCTCTTTGCGTGAACTTGACCCTCTCATGCTTGTCCAGCATCCCCTGCAGCTGGTGCAGGTTGAGCGACAGGATGTCCTCAGACAAGCCGATGCACAACCCCGACAGCTCACGAAGAGGATCCTGGAGCTTTCGAGCAAGCGACACGGCCATGAGGCGTGTGGGCGGGTAGCGAGGAAACTCCTGCATGCTCCTGGGCGAGTGCGAGTACTTATACGCCACCGACTGCTCGCTAAGGAGAACGTCGATGGTGCGATGAAGGATCCCCTCCGACTCGCACGCTGAGACGAGCCGCTCGAACTGGGCCTTGAGGGTCCTGCACTTGAGCCCTCCTCCAGAGCCGATCACAATCACATCAGGTCGTTGCTCGTCGAGGAAAGACATGAGCTGGTGGGCCTCGTTGTCCTTGAACGCTGCGTTGATGTGGTTTCCGCTGAAGGGGACACTCAGGTTGATCGACTTGTAGCTCACAACCTCCCCCTGCTGATTGATCACCACGATCTCCGACGGCTCAGCATAGCACAGCGCCATGATGTTCTTGGGCGTCTCGGGGGTCCCATCCACGGAGCGGTAGACGTAGGGGGGAACCCGAAGTTGGTTCTCCAACTCCATCTGCATCTGCTTTCCCACTCGGTCCTTGGCCTTCCTCTGACGAACTTCCACCAGCATCCTCTCCATGGTCGGGTACAGGTTGGTCTCCAATGCCTCCTTCAGGATGCCTACCCTCAAGTCGTTCCATTCTTCCGAGCAAGAGTTCTGCTCGTCGCTCTTGTAGCAGCGGATCAGTTCATCGAGCAGGCGATCGTGGCTTCTTGGGTCCATCCTTATCTCAACGTTGAGATACTTCTCGCTCCGGCACTTCATGATCGTCAGGAAGTCTTCGTCGCCGATGTCTCGGTCGGGAACCTGCGAAATCAACTCAAAGTCGCTTTCACGTCAAACAGCAGACTGAGGCACTTGTTGACGAACCTGTCTGTAGTTGCGGAACTCGTGGTGAATGGTCTCCCCAGAATCCTCTCCCTGCTTCGTCTCGGAGCAAGTGACCGTTGCGGACCGCAGGAAGAACTCTTCCCGCACGTAGCGGCGGATCACCGGGTCAGCGGCAATCTCCTTTGCGGCACTGAACCGGATGGCTGACAGCAACGCATTCACGTCCTGTAAGCCATACTCCCTCGCATCCTCCACGTAGTCAATCAGGAATTCCACTGGGCCCTCAGCAGGGTCTGGCGGGGTGTGGACCTTATACCCAGCAAGGTTCTCCGCAAGTTTCACCGGGTTCAGCACAAAGCGCTCAAGGATCTTAGTGATTCCAGCCTTCTTGCAAACTCTGTACCTCGAGTACTTGACTGGGCGCTTGAAACCTTTTTGCTCTACTTGCTCCTCTTCAGCTTCAGAGTTCCTCAGCTCCATGAACGCCTTGACGTCGCTGAGTTCCTCCATCGAAAATGCTTTCTGCAGGACGTTGAGCGATGCCGTGTCGTTTGCCGCCTCAAGGTTCAACTTTAGTTGTTCCTTCCTCTGCTTCAGGAAGCAGTAACGCGCATCTAGATCGTAGATGGTCCAGAGGTCCTCTGCCCGCAACTCAGGCTTCCAGTACTCCTTGCGGTAATGGGCGATGAAAGGAATATCGAAAATGATCGACTCAGGCATGGCAGGTTGTTCAACATCCTCGGTGGACGTTTCCCACCATTTGGGGATTCCCTCGAAGAAGTGTGAGGCCGTATGATGGATGTCCTCCTTCTCAACTCCACGGAAGAAACAGATCACGTTTGTTATTTTCGACACCAACCTCGCCCTGAGGTCCCTCGCGCGTTCAGAACGTGTGACCTTCATAACCTGCTGCTGCTGCTCGTCGTCTTGCTCTTCGATGGGAATAGGCACCTCCACCATGTCATCTCCAAACTCCTCCAGATACTTCCAGTCGATGAATTTAATATCCTTGGCATGCTGCTTGACAATCCATTCAGCCTCGTCCTTCACCTCCTCCAATGTCGGGGTTGGCCCTCTCTTCTTCAAATCGATTTGTAGGCGCTCTGGAGCATCTGTTTTCCGGATTTCATCATCTTCTTTGCTGAGGAAGTACTCCTTGATCAAGTGTGGCTCGTAGAGCTTTTCAAAACTCGGGCCTTCCTCTTTCTCATCTGCCGCCTTCGATTCTTCGTCGTACTCGTCGTCGTACTCATCATCCCCGAACAGGTCAACGGCTCTATCGATCTTCTCTAGCTCGTTGTCGTTGACGGACGATCGGGGCCCCTTTCTTCTCCTCTTGCCAACACCTGCCCCTAGCTCCCTGCCACGATCCGATGTCAAACGCAAACCAAGATTGAACAAGACATCAATACTCAGGTTCATCGTCTTCGATGAAATCACCCATCGAGTCATCAGATTCGTCATCTAGTATTTCGTCAGTATGCTGTATGAATTCCTGACAGAAACATCTCACCATCGTAGCTGTGAGATCTGCCTGGCCTCTCATCATACTCCCGCTGGTCCTTCCAAGAGGTCTGGGCACGCTTGATGCGCTTTCTCGCCGGCTCGTCATCTCCACCCTCATCATCTTGATCGCTGTCATCGGCAACATCCGCATGATCGATCTCCGCATCAAGGTTGAGATTCTCCCTCACAAGTTCGAGGTCATCCCTCGTTGCCTTTTTCTCAGACTCAGAGATGCGGATCCTCTCTCGCGGGCGTTCCTCCTCTTCGTCGTCATCGACGATAAACGCTCCTTTGGACTTCCCGTCGTTGTCATCTAGTTCATCGTCGTCCTCATCATCCTCATCATCGTATGCTTTGACTCCACCATCATCATCTTCCTCCTCAGCTGCATCATCAATGTACCTCCTGGCACCAGTTCTGCCCTTGCCTTTTGACCTTTTACGAATTGGTTTCTGCTCCCGCTCGTCGCTGTCATTGCCTTGATCATTATCGTCATCGTCGTCATCATACTGTCCAGAGTCCCCTTGATTCTCTTCATCCTCCCTCTCAGAAGCGCTTTCGTCTGACGGCATACCTGATGAATTCTCCCTTCCTACAGGGGTCTACTGGTGGAAGGCAAACCCTGTACCAGGAACGATAAAAAAATCTGTCAAATGAATTCGTCAACAATCCTTGATAACAACCACTTACTCAATCATTTAAAAAGCTAATGAAGCACAAATGTACAAACTCTGTGAAGGAACTAATTTCGAGCTGCTAGCTGCTGCCTTGATATCATGATCAGGAAGAAATTGCAGAAGCGCTCTCTTTCTCGTTGTTGACCCTCCTAATTTATACTCCAACATATCTTCCTTCATGTACTAGAATTCTAGTCTGCACTTCCTTCTCTTCTGAAAAAGCTTCCCTAATTTCAGTCATATTCTTCAACACCGTTCTTCTTCCTCCTGTCCCCCGCGAATCTCCCCATCCTCCTCATCTGGACGTCTCCTCCATCTCCTCCACCACTTCATCCCCCCTCCCCCCATCAGCATCAGCATCAGCATCAGCATCAGCATCAGCATCAGCATCAGCATCAGCATCAGCATCATCGTCTTCGTTATCTTTTTCATCCTTCCTCGTCCTCGTCCTCGTCCTCGTCCTCGTCCTCTTCCCTTGTTGCTTGCTTCCTACTCCTTGCTCAGAGGTTGTTTCTCTGCCATCGCTTTTCCCTCAAAAGCACCCCTCACCCCTACCCTACCTTTTCACCCCTACCCCATCGATCAGAGACATTTGTACCTTGGGTCTACCCCATGGTCTCTATTCTCTTAAGTGAGGTTCTGGTTTCATAACTGCCCCCATCTTCCTGTGTCATACATCAGGACTACCCCCACAGGGAACTACCCTTCATTATCATTACCCTACCCCCCTGGAAAGACTTCCGCGTGAGTTTCAATTTTAAAAATGTATCACATTCTTTGAAAATTTGATGATATTTCAAATTTTATACAATATTTATGAAGACAGATTTCAAATTCTGCATTTGGGTAGGCAGCGAACTATTCCAGGTCAAAGCTGGAAAAGTTTGCTTCTTGATTTGAAATTTATATGGGATGCCACAACTTTCCTGCACAATGGCGACGAAATTGAGCCCAAAATGTCTTGGGTTGCGACTGTGCTTTCGCAGGGAGAGGACGACGGAAGGAGGGGGGAGGCTGGGGGGCGGGGAGAGGAGGAGCACGGAAGGAGGGAGAGGATGGAGGTAAATCATCGACAAAGGTCTTCAAGCCCGTAGAGAAGAGAAGAGAACTGCATTAACAACGTGTGGAGAAAGGACACAAAAATAGAATGAGCTGGGTGAATGTCTCTCTCTTTCCTACCCCGCTTCCCCTCCCTCTCTCCCTCCCTCTTTACTGCTCTGCTTCCTTCCCCCTTCCCCACCCCATCCTCTCCCTTTCATACACAGTTGCTCTCTTTGCTACTTACCTACCTCGATCTCGCGAGTCCCTAATATCCAACTCTGCCCCTTTGCTCTAGGTGTGAAAATGAAGAGGACGCAGCTGGCTTGCAAGCCCTGCAAGGACATCAAAGCTAAGTGCGACAACTTCCAGCCTTGCACAAGGTCACTTCTGAGCATTCTTCTCTTCCCTTTGTGTCCTTCTCCCGGCAAAGAAGGAGGGGAGGGGGAGAAGGAGGAGGAGGGTTGCATCCTCGAACCTGACCGCTGTTTGTTGGTGTAGATGTCTACAGTCAAACTTAGCAGACCAATGCATCAGACTAAGAGTGGCAAGGGGGCCTAGGAAGAGGAGTTCCATCGCATGTGTGGCATGCAAGCGATCAAAGCTGAGGTGTGATGAGGAGAGGCCTTGCTCTCGCTGCAAACGGCTCGGCAGGGAACTGGACTGCATTGATGAGGAACTTCAGCTCATCCCTGCGCAGTTTGTTGAGCCGGATGATCACCAGTTGTGTGTGTATGAGATGCTTCCTGCCGACAGGTCGGATCATTTGCAAGGATTACAGGTGGAGCGTCCGCTGAACTTCAGAGTTCGGAGCCTTTCCTTTGAAGAGCCTTGCCATATGCGAGAGCGAATGAACTCAATGGGATGGCCAGATCGCGTGCTATCACGGCACTTCGAATTCGGGCACAGCTCGAAAGATATGATGAACATCTTCGTCAGCCTGCCTCCTCAAGTGCAACACATCACGAGGCGAGCGTTGCAGGCATTGGAGGTTATCGTGGAAGATATGGCGGCGAAGAAGCAGGCGCAGGCTGTTGCAGAACATCTCCTGACAGATAATTTGACGTGCTCAAAACAAGAGATCGAGCTGGAGAGCTCTTTCTATGAGCAGCAAAACTTCGGAGTAATGTCTCAGCATGTCTACCCGTGGACAGGGAAGCGGGCGCATGCGTACCTATCGTCCTCAGTTTGCAAGATGATGGGACTGCACGCAGAGGAGGCGCTGGCTAGGCTAGCGAACAGAGAGCTGCCGCTCCTGAGCACGGAGTTCAACTATTATTTCTACGTCATGTTTGGAACCTGGTCATTTGCCATGCATCCAGGCCGCCCGCTTGATTTGATGACCCCCATCTGCGTCCGCGGGGAGCATGGCGACAGCTGTATGATGGTGAGGGTAGTGCAGCAGCAAGAGTTTGACTGCCAAGGATCCCTGAAGGCCATCAAATCGTTCTTGATTCCGGTGAGACGGGGGAGAAGTTGCCGAGTTGGAGAAGTTGAGGGGAAAGGAGTTGTGATAGAGGAGTAGACATATGATAGGCAGAATAAGCCTGAGCTCTGACGCATGTCCTGACAGCTAAGTAGAGAAGAGTACGAGACTCGCGTGAAGGACCCCAATGATACGTTCGTGCGGCTGATGAAAGTCCTGAACCAGAACAGAAGCTACGACATGTGGCTCAAGGACTTCGAGGTTGATATGTATGCGGTGAGAGCACAAAGAGCACAGATGACTGAAGATCGCTGCTTTGCTGACTTGTCTTCTACCACAGGGAGAGACGATCCTGGGTTTGCAGAAGTCAAGACAGGGCGAAGAACGATTGCAAAGACTAGCAAAGGAGCTGGAGATCCTCTATCGTCCCTTCGTGGTCAAGGCCGAGCAAATATTGACTGCAAGAGAGATGAGCAAAAATCGGGGCCACGATCACTGAGTCTGTCTGAGGGTGACCGTCACTGCAGTGCGGCACGCTATCTGTGATGCATGACAGGGAAACTGAGTTGGAGTAAATGGATGGAAGTTACACACAAGACGATAGGGAATCGTCTTCAGATGGTGACTGGATTGTTCAAAAGCTGTACAGTCACCAGTGAGCTCAAGCTGTACAGTCACCAGTGAGCTCAAGAAAACATGCCTTCACGACGATGTCTGATAGGTTCGCAAGAAATACAGTGCATTTTAGCAGTGAGCTGCTCGATTGCTTGAAGCAACGATGATTCACAGCACTATCGAATGATGACAAGCAAGTCCAGTGGTTTGTGAAGGATTCTTCATCCGATTTTCAAGGATGTGTTTGAACGATGAAATATTTTGCAAATGGCCAAGGTCTATGCCATTTCATCAAATGATTCATCATGTAAATATTACTGGTGTGAGCTTGTATCAGATTGTGTTCATCAATGAGCCGCTGCCAAGCAGATAATACGGTCACAGCAAACATGAGCACTTTGAAGATGCTGATATTCCAGGCCGTAGAGCATTTATGATGTGGCCACATGTCATATGCTTCCTGGTTAACATAGATACACCTTCGCCAGGCAAAAGATGGAACGTCGTCAGGATTACAAGGAGGTCAGTTGTGCTTTTACCCAGATTGAAACGCTTGTAATAAAGATATGATCACCTGAATGTGGGATTCTGTTTATTGATTCACAGTGCTTGTGATTCGTTTACAATCATCGAGTGCTTGCTATGTTCAACAAGGCACTCCTCTGTAGAGCCACATGAGACAAGAACTCTATGGTTGCACGGTAGCATTGCGAACTGTCAAAACAAAGCAGGATTGATTCGAAGAACATCTCATTTATTGATACTCACTCTACAGTCATGTATGCGGGCAGGTAAAGTCACTCCTTTGTGCAAATGTCTCTTCATGCATAGTTGAACGGTTGAGTACAAAGCCTTGCCTCTATAGAAAAGTGAAGTGCATGAATCCTGACCGTAAGACTAGCAGAATTGAAAGTGAGTGATGACATGAAAACACATTTCTTGACAGAAAAGTCGCTTCAGGTACAGCTGGATACAAATTTCTCACAAATCATGCATTTGAGCGCAACGTGCAACCTACGTTAATGTGAAAGAAGGGTCAATCAGAGTTGATTCTGTTCAATGGTGTATCCATCATTAGTTGCTTACCTCTTCATGAAAATTTCATCTTGTCTTCGAAGAATATTTGCAAGTACACTCCCGGATTGTTTGAACCAAGGGTGCATATTCCAGTACACGATGGATGATTCAAACATTACCTGCCATATGAACGCCGAGCTGGAGTAGCAGAGGCTTCTTCCCGGATAATAATGATATATATCTGATGTCTTGTCCTCTATCCCGTCCTCGGATATGAGGTTGATCGTGGTCTTGGTGGCGCTGCGGTCGTCTGCGAACCAGTCTACGAAGATCTGTAACATGGTTCGTTTGTTCTGTGTCTTTCGCCTTGTGCGCGGTCGTCACCCGCTTATGAAGGTCCTTGATATAAGTGGGATTCCGCTGCGGTTGTATCAGACATGTGGGCTGGGTATGAGGCATTGCACCCGGGCGGGTCGGAGCCCTTTTTTACGTGGGAGGCTTTCCTGGTACGTGTAGGTGTGATGCCTTACGCCCTCTTATCCCTTTCTCTTTTCCCACTGACACCCTCACAGTTGTGGGACAAGTCGTTGTCAGCGTTGAAGAACCTCAGGAGCGGCAGAGACACGATCGAGCAGGCGCAGGCGAAGGCGTCTGCCTCGGAGGAGGTGAAAGAGAAAGTCCAGCTGGACCTCACGAGAGAGTCGGAGGCAGATGCAGCACTCGTACCAGTCTTGATCGCCCGGATGCTCCTTCTGTCGGTGATGTCGGGTTCGGTGCTCCGTCTCGTGGTGCGGTGGTTGGGGTTGGACGTCGAGGGCTCACCTAGTGGCTGTCGCGTGTTGTCGGCTCGTTGGACCTGCTTGTGATCCACGTGTTGATGTGCAACGCTATCGCCTTCCCCTGCATGTACGTAGGCTCTACCCGACTCACCGTCTTTGTTAGCATCGGGCTGTATAGGGTTGTGCGGAACTGGGTCTTGGGGATGTCTGTTGTTGTTGCAATCGGTGTGGCCCTGACTTTCATTGCCGCTGGAGAGGCGTCCGTATCGGGCATACCCGTCGTGTCCAGAGGGGAGAGCGAAAGTGAAGAGCGGCATGTATGTCTCTTTCCCTGTGAGCTCGAGGTGTTTGTGGGCTTACCCGCTCGACGAGCAGCCTGACGCTGTCGGAGGCCTGCGAGCCAGGCAATGAGAAGATGAAGTCAGGCCTGCATAGGCTGAAGCAGTGGATCCTCGATGTTGAGATCGGTAGGGGCAGGAATAAGGTCGGGGATGGTTTATTGTTCTAAGATTCAACCGCCCCTCAAGCCATAACCTCGGTCTGTTGCGGCCGCATGGGTGGATGGTTGAGCCCTATGGCGCCCTTGCCCCATAGGTAGCGAACCTCCATCATGTACTGCAGGGCGCGGATGACGTAGACGCCGACGGTGTTGGAGGAGGGAGAGGAGAGGAGGAAGAGGAGGGAGAGGAGAGGAGCGGAGGGAGAGGAGAGATGAGGTGAGGTAAAGTGATGTGAGGTGTAAAGTGAGACTGAAAAATAAAGCTTAGCGTGAAAGACAGGTTACAGAAACCACACAATTGCAAAGGACAAGAAAGGACAAGAAAGCTCCGACAAGACACGATCAGACTGAAGGAGAGACCAGAAAAGGGAAAGGGACAACCGTTGTCTTGCAAAGCGATCGACGAGCTGTTTTCAATGCCGAAAGAGAGATGCCCTGACAATCGAATTAGAACGAGGAGGGTTTGCAGGATGAAGACAAAGTGGCATGATCGCTCGAGAAGCTGCTGGGGCAGGCGCAGACTTGCGCAGAGACAGGCGCAGGGGCACTGCAGCAGCGGCAGTGGGAGCAGCTGCAGCTGCAGCCGGTCTTAGTGCGTGGTTCCGTTCCGAAGGATATGGGCAGGAGAGACAGAGGAAAACCCCATGAGGTCGAAAGCGCCCTCCCCCCCTCACCAGCTCTCTTGCCGCTTCAGTTGACGCAGATGAAACAAACTCCAGATCTTGGCCTGGCGTCAGTGAGGGCCAGGGCCTCGTTGCTCGACGGGGCATGGCCACGAGGATAAGCCCATGCTGGCTTAGGTTTGGTTGCAGATAACAGAGATTTGCTTCAGGGTGGGTCGTCAGTCCGTCAAGAGTTCAGACTGTGGTTCAGATTTTCAGTGTCAGTTACCCGGACCCAATCGTTTGACACTTGAAGTTTGACAGACTCGAAGTTTGACAGACTTGAAGTTTGACAGACTTGAAGTTTGACAGACTTGAAGTGTCACGGACTTGAAGTCTGCTCCATGCCGGAGGTAGAGTTGTCCCCCTGCTCTCACTTCCTGACGTGAATTCTGAAAGAGATGAAGCAAAGGTCTCGTGAAATCATCGTTGATGTATCAAGCCTTTGCAAGGTTTTGCACACTGGTTCGGATGAAATCAAGGCGAACGTTTGCTTGCAACGTCACAGACTCTTGTAGGAAGAAAGTTTCTTTATGGAAGAAAGTTTCTTTATGGATCAAGTCTATCCCGACAACCACATCAATGATGAATACTCTCTTGCGCTACGTAAAGAGCTACACATATTACCGACATGAGAATCCAGCTGGAAAGGGATCTTGGAGCAGCGCTATATACATAACCTCCCTCTTTGGCAGCTGTCTCTGATGTAGCGCATCCTTGATACCTACCGTACGTGTTGAAGTTCGATGGCTCACACATTCGGAGTCCATCAGAAGGAAGTCTGTAGTCGAGGTTGGTCCCAACAGGAGTTCCCGTGCAAGCATCGGACGTGTAGGATTGCCAAGTAAACTTTGATGTGTTGGTGTCACAAGACATTTTGAGATGGTATGTCACATCGCTGCCGGCGCTATCCTTGGTCTTGTAGGGATAGCAATTCCCAGAGGTCTTGGAGGATCCGATGATCTGTGCGAAGGTTTGGTCATGCACGTAACGCTTCTCAGACACACCAAGGCAGGATATGTCATTCTCTGCATACTCGAGGTACTTGTAGTACACCTCCTGTGCTCCCACCGGAGCAAGGAAGCAGAGGACTTGTTGTCGGGGTGGCAAGCAGGGGGTAGACGCTTGTGACAGATGACAGGGGCGAGACAAGGATCTTGCGGTGGGAGCACCCTATGAGGTAGCGAGCCCCTTGTTAACTTTCGAAGGGGTGGGTGCTGAGGAGGCTAGGACCAGGCACAGCTTGTGGTCGTAGGGCGGGTCATAGGCAGTCTGTAGGGGGGCTGCTGAAAAACTTGAGTCTTTTCTTAAATCATATTGTTTCCGTGCCAGTGGTCACCGGGTTGCGGCTTGCCTGCCGCGGTCACGGCTGCGGCGGGGGCCGGGCAGTGCCACGCCGTGTCAGTGGGTCGCCGGGCCGCTTCCGAGTTCGGAAGTTCAGCTCACTGTCAGTCGGACGCCGCAGTGAATGGCATGTCGGCCGCGGGCCGCGTGACAGAAGTTATGGGACGTGCCAGGCTTGTCGCCGCTTCTTTTTCTCAGGTGCTGAGAGTACGGTCGGCGAGTCGGATGCCAGCCTGCCAGGCTGGCAGGCCCTTGGCGGCCTACCGTACGGTCACTGTACTACTACTGGCAGCCTGAGCCCGGGCCGCCCGGCTCGCGACCCCTTCCGAACTGAAGTTTCCCCTGGCCCTCAGCACGGCTCCGGCTTGAATCACGGTGATCCGACACGCAGCGGCGCTCCGGGGACCGTCCGACTCCTGGCCGGCCCCCGGGGGTAGCTTGCCCTCAGGCCGTCTGAGGGTGCCAGTACCGGCGCGGCTAATGATTCCAGAGCGCCCCCGCCTGCGGCACTGTGACCGTGACGGTGGCACCCGGCCCAGTGCAGCTCACTGCCAGGGTTCAACGGCCGGCGGCGCCGCCCCCGCCGCCGGGCGGCCCGGCGGCGGCGTGCCGCGCAGTGCCGGGCCCCCCGGCCGGGCGGCCGGGCCGGCCGGGCCTTAGTTCTAAGCCATGATGACTGCTAATCCGCGCGGCCCGGTTCGGGTCGGCAGTTGAGTTCTCTTGGCTTTCTTTTTACTCAGCGAAGAGGGAGCAAGACCAGGGAAGATCAGGGGATACCGAATATTTCTTATCAGTACACCTATAAAATATCTTACCTGTCCTATATAAGATTGTTACCCCGTTCTCGTGCTCCTTCGGGAATTGGGCCAGGGATGGAGTTGGGGCAGCATGTGCAGAAGGCGGAGAGGGGGGGTGGGAAATGAGTGTGTAGGGGTGGGGAGGAGGACATATAGGGATAGAGCCATAGGGGGTAGTGTTGTTCATAGTAGGGGTCCATTGTAAAAAATCTCAAATGGAGGGGTGGAGTGATCGGGTGGGGTAGGGAGTGTGGCGGTGGGTATGATGTAAGAATGAGGTAGGGGGTAGGGGTGGTAAAATAAAGCTCCTTGCGGTCGCATGTCGGGTGGAAGGAACACATGGATGCGACGGAGGAAGGGAGGCGAAAGCGGCAGGCCATGCAGGAGAAGAACACTTGCTAGATCATGCCGGTTTAAGCTCTGACTGTACGCCAATCTTGCAAGAATGAGAGGAGAGAAAGATATGGATTGTTGTACTCTTGTCATGAAAAGGCCTCAAAAACGCACCTGTGAGGTGTGAGGGAGGTTATTGTGAGCATAGCAGACCAGAACATGTTGTCTATCAATGTCACAGGTTGACGATCATATCTACAGAATCGATCGCAAATGTTGATGTCAAGCTCATAGATATAAAGACCCTTTTTTCCTTGAGCCATGCTCAGTTGTGCTGAAAGCGTGTAGGCCAGAAGCGACAAGTGGATTTATCCCTGCATGATTTTGGTTCGGTTGTACAGTAGATGATCAGCTTTGCATAGAGATACAGTACACTCAGTGTTATTGAGATTCATGAGGCTAGGAAAGGGGGGCGAGGGGAAGAACGTTGAAACAACGATACATCCGCTGATGGCGACGTTGACAGGCCTTAGCAACCATGAGCGAATTTCCCAATGCGGAGAAGATCAAAGCAGACGAGATCGCAGCTGTACATCGACACGAAATCAAGAAGACGATCGATGAGCTAGCAAAGGTGATGCGACTTCTCCTCTGCTCTTCCTGTGAACAGCTTGTAACCTCTTTTTCTATCAGAAAGGGGTCACTCCCCTCCTGGTTGGCTTTCTAGCCAATGGAGACGTTGCTGCCAAGAAGTACGCAGAGGTGACTTGCATGGCGCATGTGCATGGCGCATGCGACGGCAGGACGTGACGTTGGAGTGCAGTGGACCATGAAAGCTTGCGAAGCCGATGGGATCCGGTTTGAGGTGCGGGAGGTGGACAAGATGGAGCTCGAGGAAGCGCTGATGGCTGCCAACCGCGACGACTCGATTCACGGCATCATGATCTACTACCCCTGCTTCGGCAACGCCCCCAGCTTCTACGGAGGCAACATGGACGACTACCTGCGCGACACGGTGCCGGTGGAAAAGGATGTCGAGGGCCTCTGCTACACTTACCGCCATAACCTTTACCACAACATCCGCTACATCGACACTCAGGTGAAGATCACAAGCGTTGATGGCCGTTGACATGCCGATGTGAACCCGTTCAGGTCTCACACTACAAGGGAGGGATCAACACTCCCACTGGAACTAAAGGAGAGAAGAAATGTCTCCTGCCATGCACTCCCCTTGCCATCATTAAGATTCTCGAATACCTCAAAGTCTACGATGAGAACCTTCCTGTTGGAAATCGCATGCATGGAAAGAACGTCGTTGTCATCAACAGGAGGTACCGCGCCTTCCCTCCCTCTCCTTCTCTCCTCTCTCCTTTCTGCTGCCTGCCCTGCTGGCTTGCTGGCTGCTGTTGCTAACAGACGATGCGCAGTGAGATTGTTGGACGCCCTCTTGCTGCCCTGTGAGGCTCGAGAATAGGAATGGGGGATGTCTTACTCGTTGTGACAGGCTTGCGAACGATGGAGCAGATGTTTACAGCATCGACCTGAACGGGGTGTATCTGATGTAAGCAAATCTCTCTCGTTGCTGTATCCTAGATGCCTTCTTCTTTCACATCGTCCTCATCGTTTTCCTCCTCATCATTATCTCCTGTCATGATGATCGTAAATCATCGTCATTGACATTGTCTTCGTGTTTGAGTGTTCCACTGCTCTAGTTTCTTGCATTGATTTCTGTTTCTCAGGCGACGCGGGAAAATGCTGGAGGTTGCGGAAACCCAGGAAGAACTATGCAAGAAGTCAAGAATTATCGTGAGACCTGAGCTTGCACTCCTCTCCCTCTCCTCCGTCCCCCTCACTGTCCCCCCCTCCGTCCCCCCCCTTCCTTCCTCTTCCTCCTTCTCCTCCTCCTCTCCTAACCTTGAGCTCTCGCAGGTCACTGGTGTCCCCACCAAGGATTACAGGCTGCCAACCGAGTGGGTCCAGCCTGGCACTGTGGTACAGGAGCTCCAGCTCAGCTTCTGCTGGGGTTAACACAGCCGCAGGTGATTAACGTCTCTCACTTCAAGAACGTCGACGAGGACGCGCTCATGCAGGTCCCTGGTGTCAAGTACGTCCCCCTTGTCGGCAAGGTCTGTGCTCGCACCTCCCCCTCCTCTTTCGTTCCTCCTCCCTCCCTTCCTCCCCTCCTTGTCCCCCTCCCTTTCCTTCCTCCCTCCCTTCCTCCACCTCTCTCCCTCCCCCCTCCCCTCCATCTCTCCCTCCCTGCCTATTCTCCCCTGAAACTTTCCCTTCTCATCCTCCTCGTTTGCCTCTTTGCCGATTCACATCCTCTGCTCTGCTACCCGTTCTTTCTTCCTCTCGTCTCGTCTCCTCTGTCCACCCTCCCTCCGCACTTTCCTCGCACTTTTCGTTCCTGTCTCTCCCTCCTCCTTCTCTCCCTCTGTGACGCGCGCGCCAGGTCACTGTCGCCATGCTCGAGCGAAATTTGCTCAGGTTGATCCAGAACTTCCATCTCAAGGAATAGAAAGCAAGAGAGAGGCGGAGACAGCGCAAGGAGGGAGGAGGAGGAGGAGGAGGAGGAAGGGAGGAGGAGGAGTAAGATGTTGCCTCCAACGGGCGGAACTTGACCATCGTGATAAAGGATGAAGAGAATTTATAATGCTTGCAAGCGCGAAGAGACTCCTTCTCTGAGCCCGAGGAACCCACGGGCATACGGCAGGAAGAGGAGGGAGAGGAGAGGGAGGAGAGAGGAGGGAGGAGGGAGGAAACTCCAAAGAGACAGGTCAAACACTTTGAGTTTGTCAGTCAGCTTGAGCGAGGAAGGGACGAAGGTCTTGCTGCTTGCCGCGTACGAGGATCTCAAGAACCTGACTCCACCCTCGCACACTCCGATCATCCTTGATAAGCGCACTGAAGCCTTTGATGATGGTGCTGGATATCCGCTCCCTGATCAGCAGCCTATCGTCAGGTACTTCTGCTCCTGCTCCTGCTCCTGCTCCTGCTCCTGCTCCTCCTGCTCCACCACCACTTCTTCCCCTTCCTGCTCCTCCTGTTCGTGCTGCTCTGTTTCCTCCTGTTTCAATCTCCCTCCTATTCCTCCTCTGCTTGCTTCTCCTCCTTCTCCTCCTCCTTCCTTTCCCATCTCACTTTCCCCTTCTGCATTCCCCTTCCTCCTCCTCCTCCCCTCCTCACCTCAACGCCGCATCTTTTCCCAGTTTGACTGCAATGCGAATGAAATCCTCCAGGTCGCTTGCGATGAGCTCTGAAGAGAAATGAGAGGACGAGAGGGCAGGGGGAGGGAGGAGATTGAGATGTAGTATAGAAAGGCAAGGGAGGAAGAGCAGGAGGAGAAAAGGATTGAGAGGAGGTTGATGCAGAGAGAACAAGCACAGGGGGCAGGGGCAAGGGAAGGGGCAGGGGCTGGATGAGGAGGAGGAAGAGGAGAACAGGAGGCTGAAGGAGGGGGAGGCTGGAGGAGAGGGACGAGGAGGAGGAGGAAGAAGAGGGGGATGGAGGCGGCTGGGGGAGGCGGCTGGAGGAACAACCTTGGAGTCCAAGAAAGGCGAGGAAGCCTTGTGTGCATCGTCCCGACATGAAGTCCGTGGGAAGAGTCACGATGGGACGCCTGCAGGAAGTCAGAGAGAGACGAGAGGGCGAGGGACATGGCAGGAGGAGAAATCACCCGACTGCGAGGGCCTCCATGGAGGTAGTGTGCCCTCCGAAGGGATAAGAGTCGAGGATGACGTCTACAATAGCGAACATGTCCGAATAATCCGCGTCATGCATAGCCTGCTCCCTGTCAGCCCCCTCCCTCGTGGCCAACAGCTCATCGTCCTCGTTCTCCCCTTCCCCCTCCTCCTTCTTTCCGTCTCCCTCCTTGTCTTCGTCCTCTTCCTCGTCCTCTTACTCTCCCTCTTCCTTCTTTGTCCATATATTCTCATCCATCTCCCCCTCATTCTTCCTTGTCAATCTTGCCTTCTTGTCCGTCTTCTCCTCCTCTTCAATCTCCCTCCGCTCTTCTCTCCTCTTCCTCTCCTCCTCTTCAATCTCCCTCCTCTCTTCTCTCCTCCTCTCGCACCGGCAGAAACTTGATCCTCGCCATCTCATCCTCCGTCAGTTTGCTCTTGTTTCTCATTCTCTCCAGCACCTGCTTCCCGCACTGTCGACGCGGAGTGAGGAAGCGAACAACCAGACAAGGAGGGGGAGGAGAGGGAGGAGGATCTGTAGGAGGGGGAGACAAGAAGAGCCGAGGGTGGGGAGGAAGCGAAGGGGACGGAAAGGGAATTCGGAAAGGAGGACAGGCAAGCACAGAGGAGGAACGAGAGAAACAAAAGGAGAAGGAGGAGAAGGAGAAAGAGCAAGAGAAGGAGCAACGAAGAGCAAGAAGAGCGACGAAGAGGGAGCAGGAGGAGCAAGGCGGAGGAGGAAGGCGGAGGAGGAAGGAGGAGGAGGAAGGAAAGGAAGCGGGGAGGGAGGGGGCAAGGGACCTGGTCAGTCATCGGGAGCTCCTTGAACATGATGATGCTGTTGGGATCCTCGTTCAAGATCCTCTTTGCCACGAAATCCATCTTGGGGCTGGAGGATACGATGAGAGAGGAAGAGAGGGGAGAGGAGAAGGGGGGGACAGGAGTGGAGGGAGGAGAAGGGGAGGGGAGGGGAGGAGAGGAGGGAGGAGAAGGAGGGAGCAGAGAGGGGGGCGAGTCAGAAAGCAAGAGGAAGAGAGAAGGGAGAAGAGGGAGAGGGTGGAAAAAACAGGAAAGGAAGAGCGATAAAGCAAGGAGGAGGCGCGGGAGGAGGAGGAAGAGAGTCAGTTGGCAGCACCTGACTTTGAAGATCGTTTGTAGGCATGCGTAGACTGTAGCGCGAGGAGGTATGTTGTAGCGCGAACGGAACTGAAGCCTCCCGTCCTCCTTCGCGGAGTCAACGGACGCAACACGATCATGAAACAGAGGGAGATCAAGAAGTGTGTTGAAGATGAAGATGCGGAGGAGGAAGAGGAAGAGGAGGAGGAGGGAGGGGGGGGTGGGGTGGGAGGAGGAGGATCAGGGGACGAGGACGACGAGGATGAATGAAGTTCAGCAGGAGCAGCAGGAGCAGCAGGGAGTACGGTCTTCATGGCCGGAGACACGTTGAATGGAAATTCCTCGTAGAAGCGCGTGAGAGGCGTGAAACCGTCGAGGACGATTAGCCTACGACATCTCAGAGGGGAGGGGAGACGGGAAAGAGCAGAGGAGGAGGAGGCAGTGAGGAGGGAAGGAGAGCAGAAGAGGAGGAGGAAGGGAGGGAGGAAGGGAAGGGGTAGAAGGAGAGGAGAGAAGGACAGCAGTAGAGAGGGAGAGGAGAGGTTATAACTACGATCTTACTTCTCTGAATAGTGCGTTTGAGCCTGTGGCTCTGAAAACCCCTGGGAGGAGAAAGCAAACATGAGCGAAGATTGAGAAAGAGGACAAAACAAAACGAAGCAGAGGGAGAGGGGGGGGGGGGGGGAAGGACGAAAAGCAGAACGAGCAGGAGGAGCGTAACAAGGAGACAAAGAGGAGGAGAAAGACGAAGAGGAGGAGGGCGGGAAGGAGGAGGAAGAGAAGGAGGAGGTAGAGGAAGAGGAGGACCTGGTAGGAGACATAATAGTCTATCGAGTCTACCCCCGTAGTAGAGGCATGACCATGCATGGCAAGCTGAAGAGACGATGAGTTCAGATCCGTCTCCCCCTCCTCATCCTCTTCTACCTCCTCCTCCTCCTCCTCCTCCTCCTCGCCTAACTCCTCCTCCTCCTCCTCCTCGCCTAACTCCTCCTCCTCCTCCTCCTCCTAGTCCACGTCTTCCTGGTCCCCGTCCGCTCTTTCACAACCTCTGACTCATCGTCATTCCTGTCTTCCTGTCTCCTTTTCTTCGTCGTCTGCTCCCTATCTCACGCATCTTTCTCGTCCTCGTCCTTCTCGCTTCTCCTCACGTCTTTCTCACCTGTACAGGGGCCTGGCGGCCGAAGGCGAGCGCGTAGGCGTGCGGGTCCATTCCGATCTCCGAGAACACGAGGACGTCTGGATAAAGATGAGGCAACAGAGCAGACGAACACGAAGAGCAGGAGGAGAGGAGAGGAGAGGAGAGGAGTGGGGAGGAGAGGAGAGGAGAGGAGAGGAGAGGAGAGGAGAGGAGAGGAGAGGAGGGAGGGAGGGAAGGGGAGGGAGGAGGAGAGGAGGAGGGAGAGGAGAGGAGGAGGAGGCGGAGGAGGAGGAGGAGGAGGAGGAGGA